TTGGTCTGTCCATCACTTTAGTCCAGACTGAAATATCTACTACTGGATGGATTGTGAAGACATTTTGTATTTTGTTTGTTTTATATCCCCCTCAGAAGGAACTTTAATGACTTTGGTGATGCTCTGACTATCTAGCACTATCATGAGGTAAAAAAAAAATCAATTTATCCAACACTTATCACTACATACATGCAGAACTAATGACATCTGCAGACACCACAGCTGTACTTTGTGTTTAGTGCTATTTAGCAATTGTTAGCATGCTGGCAAACTAAGATGAACATTAAACCTGCTATACATCAGCATAATAGCATTGTTATGTGAGCATGGTGACATTAGTGTTTAGCTTAAAACACCACAGTGCCAAAGTAAAGCCTCATTGAGCCGCTAACATGACTGTAGGCTCATAGTCTTGTTTACTTGTCAAATCTATATAAAAGACCTCAACACTGACAGGAGAGTGCCTAGCTTATTGATCCCTGGTGGTTCCTAAACGACTACCAATCAGTAAACCTTTAAGATAAAGAGACCCAACCATCATATGACTCGTCTGTTGGACTTTGATCACATTAACTTATTCACAAACTTAATACATACAGTGTCTCGGCCTGCTTCCCAGATCTTTGCCTCAGCTGGACCATGACCTCTTGCTGGAGTGTGTATAATCCGAGATAGGATCTACTGGTCTGAGTGATTCAGAGAAAGACTATTGGGCCACACTTTCTCCAGACTGACATTAGAAACATGGTGATGGCAATGGTTAGGGTTCAGAGGGGTTTTACATGTCACAGGGAAGGACACTCCCACAGTTTGGGCATCTATATAGTGATGTGCTGTTCTCTTTTGTTCACAATTTATGGAGGCAAGAGACCAGAGACAGTATGTCATCCATTAGCAAGCAGCTGTCTTCCATCAGCTTTGCAGGTAAGTCTGGGTTTATGTTTCTTTCTTTCTGTCTGTCTTTATCTTTCTTTTGTTTGAACATAACTTTTCTCATTTTTTGTCTTTTCAGGCAGGAAGCCAGCCTCCTCCTCCGCTGAGATCAGACTGGTTTTGCTGGGGAGGACTGGCAGCGGGAAAAGCTCCACCGCCAACTCCATCTTGGCCCGTAAGGTCTTCAACTCAAAGATTAGCAGCTCCTCTGTCACCCAGCATTGTCGCAGGGCCTGTGGAGAATTTCGTGGACGCCACCTGACGATCCTGGACACTCCGGGGTTGCTGGACACTCATCAGACCCCACAGGATGTACAGAGTGAGTTGAGGAGGAGTGTAAGCATCCTGTATCCTGGGCCCCATGTGTTCCTTCTTGTTATTCAGATTGGGAGGTTCACTCAGGAGGAGAAGGAGGTCCTGCGGCAGATCAAACAGGCAATGGGTTCCCATGCTTTGAGTTTCTCAGTGGTGGTTTTTACCCATGGAGACTCTCTGGAAGAAGGGCAATCTGTGAAGCATTGTCTGATAGACGAGTGCAAGGATCTGGCCCAACTGGTGGCCGGATGTGGGGGCAGGTACTGTGTCTTCAACAACCAGAGCTCCAAGAACAAGGAGCAGGTATCTGAGCTGCTTACCTTAGTGGACACCATAATGCTGGAAAATGGAGGAATCTGCTACGGCAGCAAGATGCTCCAGAAAGCTGAGGAGGATCTAGCTCAGGAGCTGCAGGAGGAGAGGAAGCTGCTGGACGAGAAGGAGGAGCTGTTAAAAAAGAAACAGGAGGCAGCAATAAAAGAGTCATATGAAAAAGACCTAGAGATAGTTCAGCAAAAAAGCAAAAGGGAGATGGAGGAGCTGCAAAAAAAACAGCAGCTGGAGAAGGAGAAGGAGCAGAAACTGGCAAGAGATCGAGAAGAAGCCTTCAGACTAAGGATGGAGGAGGATGAAAAGAAGGAGAAGGAGAGGAAGATACAAGAGATGTTGAGAGTGATGGGGATACGGAGGGAGGAGGAGGAAAAGAGGAAAGCTCTCCAAGAAAGGCTTGAAAAAGTTACTAAAATGCTGGAAGAGCAAGCTGAGCAGGAGGAGAAAATGAGAAGAGCAATGGAGGAGAAAATCCAAAAGGAGAGAGAGGAAAATGAAATGAAAGAGAGAGAGAGGGAACTTCAGCAAATACAGAAAGAGCAGGCCATCAGGCAGAGGGAGGAGAAGAAGAGAGAGGCTTTGCAGAAAGAGCTGGGAAAACTCGCTCAGAGCTTGGAGGAGCAGAGCAGGAAGGAGGAGGATATGAAAAAGCAAATGGAGGACCTGCTCAGGCGTGAGAGGGACGAGAACCAGAGAGAAATAGACATACAGATGGAGAATCAGAGAGCGGAGAAAAGGAGAACCGCAGCCCTCAAGCAGGAGCTAAAGCTTATTCAAATGAAAATTGAGCAGCAAAAAAAGAGCGAAGAAAACCTCAAGAGACAGCTGGAGGAAACACTGCAGAGGGAGAGGGAAAGGTGTGACAAAGAAGTGTCTACATTGAAAAAGCAGCGCGACAGCAAGTGTTCAGAGTTGTGCAACGAGACGATCAAGAAGGGGCCTGAACAGAGACAGAGCACAGTGACAACTGTGACCGGATATATGCAGGAAATGGGACTAGTGGGGCTGAATGCAGCTTTAGAGAGTGTGGGAACTCCCTGCTGTATACAGTAACAGCAGATTTCTACAGTTTATGTATTCTCACATATCAGGAAATACTGGGCACGGGGTGGCACGGAGACTTTAAAGGTCCCGTGTGTAACATTTAGGAAGATCTATTGGCAAAAATTGTATATAATATTCATAGGTATGTTTTCATTAGTGTATAATCACCTGAAGATAGGAATCGTTGTGTTTTTGTTGTGTTTTTGTTGTGTTTTTGTTC